TGACGGCCAGATCCACTTGGACGTTGAGGACAGTGACGACCTTCCCGTCGGCCAGTCGCACTGACACCGTCCCGTTGCCCTTGCATTCTCTCAAATCATCGAGCAACTTGTTGCTGTTGCGAGCAACCGTCTGGCGGCGTGCGAAATTCTTCGACGCCCCAGAATCGATCAAGATTCGAAATGGATGATCGTATCCCCGTACACATCCGTGTACTACGAGCAACCCGCCGCTGCTCTTCGCCGATTCGAGAGTGCGAAGACTCTCAGGGGCTAAGTCCCCGTGGTACGCGCCACCCGCGCACCCATCACGAAGACTTAGTTCTTCCCCGTCGACTCGCGACATGACGGTGAAAAGAACTGGGTCCATTCGAGTGAAAAATAGGTGTTCTGACTTAACAAATCTTCCCTTAATGGGTTCTGTTTTATTCAATGAGAGCAAAATGCTCAGCTGCTTTCAGTCCTGCACCCCGTTTTCGTGCCCTTGCTTGACCCTTTTATAAACTTCCGGATATGATAATTCTAGTTCCAAATGTAACTTAATTTGAATGCTAAAATCAGGTTTATTTGCAAACCTATTTGGTCCACCCCCGCGAAAAGGGGGGCAGTGCTGTAATGCCGTCCGAGCAACACCTTTTCAGAGTTCGTGAACGAAAACATGCTGATTTAATGCCGTCATGCTGTTATTTCATCTTCGTCGCTGCCATTAGACGAAGATGGTTTGTCACCAGCCATAATGTCGGTAGCCTCAACAATCAAGGCGAAAATGGACCGAAATCCACTTGCGGATCCAGACTGCATCGATTTACACCAAAGAATTGTGTGGCTTCATAATTCACAAACGATTCACAGCACCTCGCACTTAGTGGAGTTTCCCACGACCTTTGGCAATATCTTTTTTCTACGGAAAAGATACGCTGGCGGCTCAAATGAGTGGCAAGGAATCCGACGCAGTGCTCGCTTTCCTGTTGGGCTCAATGTCGTCGCTGGATGCACCCGAGCACGGCAATACTGTATCGAGAGATGAGGTCGAGGGTGTAGACGACCTCCCACCTCGGGAGCCCGTGTCCGACAGCGACGTCGAACCTCACACAGCCGTCAGTGCAACAGCGGACGCCAGTAGCAGCAGCGACTTAGACACTATCACATCCGAGGTGACCTCGTGCGAGTCGGAGGATGATGGCAATTCGGCAGACACTCCGCATCCGGAGGCAATCGAGCAGGAGATTTGCATGAAAGATCCGGAATCGAAAAACAGCATGGAAGGCAAGAACGCTCACATCGCCGAGGCGGAGCACGAGGACGACTGCGCTGATCCGAATGTAGGTCCAGACGATGGCGTGCAACAAGAAGATAAAAGACCGCCGAAGAGGGAAAAGAAGAGCTCAAAGGCTGTGGTTAAGGGACGTCCAGAGTCGACAGGAAATCGAGCGGTGGCAAAGAGCAAGGGGCGTTTGACGGAGACCAAGAAGAAGCGAAATAATAATGGTGCTCCCACCCAGCAAGAGCTTCTGTTTGTGGGGGGAGTTGCCACGGTGTTAGTTGCGTACCTCCTTGCGTGTGTGTACAGCTTCTTTCACCCTGTAGTGTTCCCCTTACCGAACTACGAGGAACTGTTCTCGGCGTACGATATCTCGAATGTTTCCGTGCACATTGTGAACCCCGTGGGAAACTCATCAATCACGCCACAAGGTGTTTCATTTGAGTGGGAACTTGCCAACTTTCCCACTGAAGCTCTGCATTTGTATGGCGCCGAGGTTTTTCGATACGAATTATTTTTGGACGACGAGGTTTTCACGTCGGAAATAGGGTTTCTTGCACTTGAAAGCGAAGACGACAATACTGAAGTGCTCAATCGCACTGTAAAATTTCCGATTCCTCTCCGAAAATTCACACACGACGGGATATTTAAGCTTCATCTCGAAGTTACTATCCCCATTCCTGGGCTAATCGAAGAGCTCACGACGAACAAGAAAGATGTCTACGTTCGAAAGCCACCCACTCCCTCTATTGAGGACGAGGCACACCTATCGTCTCCCTTGGATGGTGCTATCTTCGAACGACATCAGTCTATTGTCCTCGAGTACACCGCCGTGAATGTACAAACTCTCGAGTTGCTGATTGATGACGACATTTACTTGAAGAAAACCCACGTGGACGATGGCAATATGCTGCTGCGTGGACTCGGCGTGGGGCCGCACACACTCGAAGCGAAAGCCGTAAACGACCAGAATAAAGTCACAGCGTCCAGTTTAGTACATGTAGAGATAATGGAGTCAGCATTAGTGGTGAATAAGAGCAGCTTGGAATCAGAATAATTTAAACAATCTAAACTCTCTAAATTTTATGAGCTTTATCGAAATGAAATAACTCAAAACTGCGCCTTGAACTTCTACTCATACTAAAGTGGATTCGCCGGGAAACCTCGAGTCATCATTGCTGGATCCCGCTAGACCGCGCAGCTGCAAGTTAGACCAGGCGAAATGCAACATGCCTGTCGTGGCTACGACTCATTCTTGATTTTGCTGGTGGCAGCAACAAGTAACGAGCTTCGAAAGGGGGCCGAGCGATGGCAGACGGTCAGCAGGACCACGACATGGAACCAGTGTCTCCCTACAGTCAGCGGATGACCTCGCCCCAGCCACGTCGATCTCCTAGATATGTTTCTCGGCGAGTTACAGCTTCACCACTTGTTCAAGTACGAACACCGCGTGTTGGAGCTGCCCGACGGCCCGGACGCCCAAAGCACGTGCTTTGGAGCTACTTCGAAAATGTGACGGATGGGTCGTCGAAGCCGCATGCTGAGTGTAACTACTGCAGAGCTATTGTCCGCAGTGCCCAACCGGGGACGAACATGCAACGTCACCTAGAGCTGCACAGATGCCCCTGCCGCTGTTAAACAACGCGTTATTGACTACTTCCCAAGCGTCCAACATTATCCAGTATTTTCAGCAACTGATGGGCCTCTTCTTGATTCTGGTGATAATTCACACTCGACTACTGGTGTCAACACTGCACAGTCTGTACCAGTGTCAACACCCGCTCAGCTGCAACTTCAGTTTGAAGTTGCGTTGGCCGCCATGTTCTACATGTGTGCACTGCCATTTACGCTGGTGGAATCCGAGGCATTTCGGAGCCCATTTAAGTTGCTGGCCCCGTGGATCCGATTCCCATCTCGACAAAGACTCAGTGGTGCGTTGCTTCGACAAGCACGTGATCAAATTCGCCAGAAGACTGTTGAAATAATTTGTCTCTATTGTAACAGATTCCTGGACTAATGTCAACCATTCAACCATTATTAACTTTATGGTCGTGGCTCCGGGAATGCAGTCCATGTTTTGGTCTTCATTAGCACTTGGCACGGATTCAGAAACGGGCGAGTATTTGGCAGAACATCTAGGTAGAGTTATTGATGAAGTCGAACGGGAAACAGGGGCCGTAATTGCTGGAATACTGACAGACAACGCTAGTAATATGGAGGCTGCAAGAGGAATATTGGAGAGATCTCGATCAATCTTTACAGGAGGTTGCTCTGCTCACGTGTTGAATTTATTGGTTGAGGACTTGTTCAAGCTGGACTGCTTCAAAGCTGCTCAAACCAAAGCACTTGCTATTACCACGTATGTCCGAGACCATCACGCCGTGCTTAACCAGTTTCAAACAACACTGAGCGAGACGCTAAACGGACATCACAGAGCGTTGGTCGTACCCGTCAGCACGCGTTGGTATTCTCTCCACGCATGTCTATCCCGGGTGCTTGAGAACAAGAACGTGCTAAAAAAACTGTTTTTGTAGCCGCAATTTTCAGATTTAATCCGGAATTCTGCCTCGAGCGCAACAGCTAAAGATAAATGCCGTCAAGTGAGAAGAAATATCAAAGATCGGGGATTTTGGAATAAGCTTGAACAAGTTGTGGGATTGATTGACACCGTGATTCAAACCCTTCGTGAGCTCGAGTCAGACAACTGTCCAATCTCACGCGTTTATTCTCGGTTTCAGGAGCTGCTAAACCACCCTGCTTACGGCACTGAGACTGAACAGTCGGATCTACAAGCGTCAATCAAGGCGTGTGTTGAATATCGCTGGGATTTTGTGCACACTGACGCTGCAGGGTTAGCTTTTGTCCTAGACCCCCACACTGACCTGAATCGCTTTGTCGGCTCCGACGAAGGTGATACTATCGAACAAGGATGTGCGTTTGCAACAAGGACTGGTATACTTACGCGCTTACGAGTGACTAGAAATCAGTTCAATCAAGCTTTGATTCGCTTTGCTGGTAAGAAGCGGCGGTGGTCAGCTGCAAAGAGAGCGATATATGCGGGAGCGGATCCTCAGGACTGGTGGTCTTTTAACCGAAATGAGTATCCGTTGCTGTGGGAGATCGCCAAGCTCGTATTTGCAATACCGACGTCCTCGGCGGCAAGCGAGCGTGCATAGAGCATCATGGATTTTATCCATTCCAAGAAGCGCAACAAGCTGACGACAGAGAAGGTAGATATGCTAGCGTACATCTACGTCAATCATCACGCCGCTCAGAAGGAGGCTGCAGACTGGGCACGGGTGCACTCTTATCCAGGAAGCCATGAAGCCCTCGAGAGAGAGATGCCAAAGCAGAATGCAGCGTGATTAACATTCTGATGCGCGGTCGACCTAGGGTTGTTTTGATCTATTTTGAGCAATTTCGCAATTAATACTGCACAAGTAAATCGTTTTAAATATTTTCGAAATTACTCGAAACCATCACTAGTCAGCATAGGCGCTATTAACTGTAATTGGATGGAGTTAGCGTATTACGGTACTGCACACGCTGTAAATTTCCCTGTATCGGGTAAGATTTATGCATTTTAGCGGTGAGCGAGGTGTTCTCTCTATCCTCATCCACACTCTTACTGCCAGACCTTCTTAGGCTTCCAGTGGAAGTTCTCGTACAGACGCAGCAGGTTGCGTTCGAGCATGGCCACCGTGACCTTACCCACCAGTGGCACGTACTGCACGCCCTTTATCTAAAGCAGCTCGGCCTCGTCCACGTTCTTGAAGGACGCGACGTTGATGATGACCGTGTTTTCGCTGACCCACTCAAGCGGCAGCTTGTAGCTCTTAACGGGGACGCCAGTAATGATGACACGAGACTTCTTACACGCCGTCTCCTGCGTCTCTTCGCTCGGGATGAGCTTACCGCGACGGAATAGGTACAGCGAGTCAATGTCGGCGCTGTACACGTCAGCGCCGTCATTCGCAAGCATAGCAGCCAATGGGCGGCCGACAATGTCACTACGGTTAATAGCCGTGATGTTAACACCTGACAAGTGGTTGCCAGTAGGCTTGGTCTTGTCGTAAACGCCAAGGTGTTCGAGGATCTTGACAATTGCCAAAGGTGTGCAAAACAGCACGCACTTTTGCGTCTTCTCGTCGTCTACGTAGCGGATGTTACGGTACAAGTTGCCACGGTAGAGTTGGCACAGTCCTTCCACGTCCTTCTTAATGCTGATGCTGTCGCGCAAAAAATCGTCCATGGTGCCACCGAAGAAGCTCGGGAAGGCGCCGAAGCACGGGTAGTACACGAGAATACCGTGCACATCCGAGTCTTTGTTGGCCTTCTCCAAAGCCTCCAGCAGCTCGTCCTTGGGCACTTCGCGCAGCTCGTAGCGGATGCCGTTGCGTGCACAGGTCTTGCCCGTCCACTCGGCGTACTTCTTGGGCCGTGAGCCAGCAAACCCACGAGCTTGGGACCCACGCCACCCATGTCCTGCTCAATATACTGGCGCACGGCCAAGCTGAAGGGCTCGGCGATGGTCGCAGCGTTCATTTTCGCACCGGCGGAGTCGGTCATCTTGATGTTTGTGGTAGACGTCGGTTTGACGGATGGCTGGCTGACCATTAAGCGAAAAACCGTTTGGTAAGAGCTCGATTTTTTAACGCTTTCGAAAAAAAGGGTTCAATTAATATTTGATCATATTATAAAGCCAAAATAATTAAGAGTCGTTTTTTCAAAAAGAAACGCTTTGTTTAACACCTTTGGAATTCCTTTTTATTTTAAATCGCAATGATTTGATAAAATGTCATTGAAAAAAGTGTTTCGAAATCAAAGTGCTTTTAGAAAAACAGAAAGTTTTTTTTCTCAGGGTGGCTCTTAGCCACTGCCACGTGTGCCATGCCATGGCACTAGAGATTGAGCCATGGCATGGCGTGGTTACGAATAGACCTGCCACTGTGCCATCATGAAAACTATTTTTAAAATATTCATTAATGCAAATAAAAGTAGCATGGCACATGGCAATTGCCCCTTGCCATGACACTTGCGAATGTCCGTGGCACTTCCTGTCATTTTATTTACTTTAAACTCTAGCCCTAGCAAGCGCTCATCGAATCGGATCACAGCATTTTGTGCCATGGCGTGGTTAAGAGCGACCCTCAGTTAAGCGAGCACTTTTCAACGTCAGACTTAAAAGCGACATCAAAGCTCCTATTGCTTTTTTTTTAAGATACCGTTTTCGAAAGCGCTTTTTTGTAGAGTACTTGAATTAGCTCCCCAAAAAAGCACAACAACATTTTTTAGGTGCTACAGGGCCAAAGCAGCGCATGTTTAAAAAGTATAAATTAAAGCAGTATGTAAGCGGGCACTCGCTGTTAAGGTCGAGTTGATTCAGACTCCTTGCGCTGATGGTACCGTCGTCGCGCAGTGAAACAGTACCAGTACCCGACACGAGCTAAGCCAAATTAGTGGCGGGGCAGCGAATCGAGCGCCTTGTTTTTGCTGACTGGGCTTATGTCTCCAGCCCATTCCTTCAATTAAACATAATTTTGACGTTAGTCCAGCCGATTTGTCAGTGGTGCAGTTTATCGTACCGGAACGATGGGACTGAGGTCGGTCTCCCAGCTAACAACGCTGTGTACAGCGGGGACCATAAAGCCGAACACAAGCACGAATGCACTCGTGATGTGGCCTATCACGGCATCCCCGAGCTCCATAGGTGTGTGTGGTTTGTACAGCATTCTCTTGAAGTAGTGTTCTTCTCTTCGGAGTCTTGTTGGTCTTGGCGGGAATTGGTAACTGAGTCTGAAGACGGCAGCTTTGTGAATTAGTACACGTCGACCTTCTGGATCGCGGCGTTCTTTTGCGTCCCGTAACATAGAAACTGCATTGCGGGACGCTCGACTGTGTCTCAGCTACGGACATCAACTTCAGCTTACGTGGAAAACTGTGAAGTCACTTTTGAACTTCAAGCAAACGCGTCTCTCCAGACGCATCGTTTTCTCGTCGTCACGACAGAAGTGTCGTGTACGGGGTAATAATACCTGGTGGTGGTGTGTACACTGTATATATAGCGTGTGGTGTATCGCCATAGAGTAGATCTAATGCGACACAATGTTTCTCCTTGTTATCGACGAGATGCGTCCGAATTTTCATAATTGAAGTTGTCGCTTTTGTAATTAGCGCTAAATTCTACAACATAAACATGAGATAAAAGGTGAAAAGTGTTGACGAAACAGAATGCAATAAACTTGATCGCGGATTGCCACCATTCGCGGGGCCACGGAAGGGCAACATGCTGCACACGTCACTGTGTCAGGCGTTTCGTCGTCGGCAACGCCTACTGTATCGGAGATAGCTCCAGGACCGGTCAGTTGACGGCGATTGACTTTTTAGCCTGGATCGCTCGACCTAAAGAGCCTTTATGAAAAAGCGAGAGTCATACGACATACTTCCCAGTTGGCACGACTCCGACGTGGCACTTGTTTCAACGCGCTTCAAAATGGTCGCCGTCGTCACCTGTTCGCTTCGCGTCCGACGACACGATGGCCCACCGACACGGCACTACCAACGCAAAAAACGAATTCCCATATTTTGTTGAAGAAGTTTTTTTTTAAGCATCGCAGCAACAGTCACAACTTAAAGCGATGATGACGCAATGTGTATATCGCTTTGCTAAATGAAAGATCTTCTTGAAATCTACAAAAGAGGCGATTGGCAAGTGGGTTTTTCGCAGGCTGAAGTTGACGTTAATCATTTCTATGCTGCTATAATAATTACACATGCTCATCACGAATGGTGGTCAATGAAATGGGTGCCTTTGAGACTCAGTTACCAATTTGCGTCATCCAGACCAAGACCAACAAAACTTGAGAGAAAAGCATAAGAGAATGATGTACAAGCCACACACACCCATGGAGCTCGGCGACGCCGTGCTGGGTCAGATCACCCTGGCGCTTGTGTTTGTGCTCGACCACATGATTCCCGCAGTGCACAAAATCGTCAGCTGGGATACAGACGACGTTGATCTGGGCCCGATCATCCCGGTATGAAGATCATCTAGTGAATCAATAACGCGGATGCGATATTCTAAGATGTTTTATCCATGCAGGAATGGAGTGGCACTATTTGGCCGATCACAAGCAAGAGCATGATGCCCACGACGACCGAAAAGGCCTAGCTATTGAGTCGCTACTGCTGTTGCGCAGCAACCTTCAACTTCCTTCCCCGATTGTGGCGAGCAGTGCAAACTAGTTATAACGGTTGCATACTCTTTTTTAAATTATGAACAGGAAACATGCTTCTTAAAGTATCCAATCACTAATATCGGTACTACTTCGTAATACGTACAGTACGGTATCACAGTACAGTTCGGCAGCATGTGCGTCAATTACACACATGGCTGTACTGACAAAGTTGTGCGGCTACAGAAGGCCAAACACTTGTATAAGCAACCAGAGTGTACGAAGCTTTTAACCAGGCCAAACGATTACTCATTCCGAGAGAGCGCCATCGCTGTAGTAATTCCGAATTCAGTTTTTTGGGCCCCGCAGAATCGCCTGAATTTTTCAATATCTGGAAACTCGGCATCAGGCATTTCCCACGAAAACGTTAGTAGTATGACATGGAACATTACGCCGGCAGTTTTTTTACTTTCCGTAATTTACCTGCGAGACCAGACAGCTGCTTTTTTGACGACGCAACCTTGAGAGCGAAAGCAACGTCTTTTCGATCTTAAAATAATTTTAGAACCGCCCAACCGGTGAGAGCTAAAAGACGTTGATTTGACGACGCCCACCTTATAGCGAGCCACGTCTATTTGGGCTGAACTATCCCAGCTCGGGATATAAGCTTAAGGCGATCACTGCATTCAAGATTTTCGTCTACCATCGCGACCATGCTCTTGGGGATAGCGACGCTGTTATTCCTAAGATTATCCGCGAAAACAAGCATGTAATCAACTTCCCTACGACCAACAACAAGTGCGTCTTCCACTATATCGCCTGGCATACATTCCAGAGCCCTAAGAAGGATCCTCGCAGAATTCAGGCTCAGGTGAAGGAGGTATTTAAGCGCAACTGCTCTTTCAAGGGGGTGAAGTATACGCTGAGTCCATTTAGAAGTTTCAAGCCTATTGACCTACTACAGCTCGATGAGGTTGAGGACTGCTTCCAACTCGGTATTAGCGTATATAGCATGGATGTAGCTTCCGGAAATGTAGAATGCATTCGTAGATCGGACAAGGGTATGAAGCTATGGATATTTTATCGCTCGAGAATCATGCTCTTTACATCAAGAACATTGACATGCTTCAGGCTAAGTATTAATGCCCTAAGTGTGAAGTGGTTTTCGTCAGCGCTGAAAAAGTAAAAAATCACAAAAAGAATCAATGTGAGCTCGTGAATATCGAAAGCTTCCCAGCTGAGCCAACTATCTACAAACCAGCTCAGAACGTAATACGATCACTGCTTACGAAGTATTCAATCAGGAATACTGACCAGTACATCGATCACTTCATCGTTTATGACTTTGAGGCCATTCTTAAGATTACCGCGACTCAATACGGGGAGAATACTGTCTTCACGAGCGAACACATTCCTGTGTCGGTATCAGTAGCTGATAGTTTAACCGAGGGGGTGCGTTGCTTTGTAAATGACGATCCAAAGATGCTACTTACCGAAATGTTCAATTACATTGGTGATGTATCGGTTAAAATTCAGCAGTACAATGTCAATAAATATATGTCGCTTCTACGAAAAATCATCAATGCACATGGTCTGACAGGTATGGAAGTCCCAGGCGCTAATTCTGATAAAAAAGTACAAGATGTCTGATGTGGAGAGTTGGATTGAAGAGGAGGGAAAGTATGCCAGCTTCTTTGACTTTCACCGCAGTCTTGGTTTTGGTAAGCAAAGGTCTGATTATGGGAAACTGAAACAGCAGCTTGACCAGGTACCAGTATTCGGCTTTAATTCTGGTCGATATGATATTAACTTGATTAAGAAAGATTTGTTTGCCGTAATTGGTACCGACAACGTCAAATCTGTCATCAAGAACCCCAGCTACATATGCATTGCTACATCGGACATGAAAATGCTTGATATCACTAACTATGTACCAGCTGGTACCAGCTACGACAAGTATCTTACAGCATATCTCGGTGGCTGCAAATGCGATGACAAAATTAGATGTGTCTGTGGTCTTGGTAAGGGTCTTTTCCCTTACGAGTACATCACCGCGTTCAATGTTCTAAAGCAGACTACTATCCCACCTAAGTCAGCTTTTGATAGTAAGCTCCGTGGAACGAGCATCACGAGCGATGACTACGAACGAGTGAAGTTCGTGTGGGATTACCACGAGATGAAATCGATCAAAGACCTACTGATCTGGTACAATAATCTCGACGTAGTCCCTTTCACCAAAGCTATCAAGGCTCAGCGAGAGCTATTTAAGCGCTTCGATCTGGATATGTTTGCGGATGGAGTGTCCCTACCTGGTCTTTCAGAGAAGGTTATGTACAGACCTGCTTCAATAATCTCCAATATCCGGATAAGAAACCTGCTAACGCATTCCGATTTCCAGCGAAGCGCATGGCTGGCTACAGGAGTCAGGTTGCTAAGGTAAAACGAAAATTTGGTATGACGCTCGAGCACGTGAATACATTGCTGCAAAAGCAAAAGTATCTGTGTGGTCTATGCTATTGTCAGCTGACTGCTGATACCGCTTCCGCTGATAGAATCAATAACAATCTTGGGCACACTGATGGGAATATCTTGATCAGCTGCATTTCATGCAACACCGCTCGAAAAGATATGTCTCTTAGGGGGTTCAGATACAAGAAACTGCTTGATTTTAACGCAGCCAGATTGGTGTTTTCGATTGACAAGGAGGAATCTGAGATTTACGGGAAAATGAAAGCTAACATTGCTGGTGGATCATCAATTATATTCAACAGGTATGCTAAGCGAAACGAGACGAAGATTCATGGAGGTAAGATCTGCAAGAAAATTATCGGATACGACGCTAACGCTCTATACCTATGGGCCCTTGGTAATGAGATGCCATGCGGTCGATTGACTACGGTTGAAGCGTATGATGGTATCATCGATGACATCAAAGCATACAAAGTATTCGGCTTTCTTGAATGTGATATCCGAACACCAGAATACCTTAAACAGTACTTTGGTGAGATGACTCCAATTTTCAAAAATGTACTGATCGACTGTACGAATAAGAGCGTCATTGGTAAGCACATGTTCGAACACAATGAGGCGCGCAAGCAAAGCCGAGCAAAACCAGCTCGCAAGTTGATTGGTAGCTACTTTGGTGAAAAGATTCTCATATACGCACCTTTGCTGATCACCAAGACTTACAGCTTCATAAAAGCGAGCTCCCATAAAGCTTTTGCTCCATTTATGAAGGCTGTATCAAACGCCCGGCGAGAGGGTGATGTTGATAAGTCTAAGGCTATGATTGCCGAGATGATGAAACTGGTAGGCAACAGTGCTTTTGGTCGATCTGGCATGGATATGAGCAAGCACAAAGAGGTTAAGTATGAGTCGAGTGACAAAGCTATTAAGAACAAGATCGAACACTTTACGTTCCATGGTCTCGAGGAGCTTAATGATGCGTGTGAGATCACGATGAAGAAGCGCCGACTCAATAATAAGAACCCAATCCATTTGTCGATTGCTATCTATCAGCTTGCTAAGCTACGCATGCTTCAGTTTTACTATGACTGCATAAATTTCTACTTCGATCGCTCTGACTTCCAGTATCAGGAGATGGACACTGATTCGGCTTATATCGCTTTCAGCTGTGATAATCCATTTCAAGACTGTATTAAGTCTGAGCTACGAACCCACTTCAAGGAGCATAAATACGATTTGTTCCCACGTGACTACAACACTGAGGTAGCTAAGTTTGATCGCCGTACGCCTGGTTTGTTCAAAGATGAATGGTCAGGTGATGCTATGGTCTCACTATCGAGTAAGAACTATATTTGCTACCTACCCGATGAGACATACAAAGTAAAGGTTTCAGCGAAGGGTATTCAACAGGGAAGTGGTCGAAACAATGGTGTTCTTAATTCTGATGGGTTTGAGACTGTCGTACGGGATCGCATCATGCTACAAGGTACAAACAAGGGGTTCAGACTATCGAAAGAAGCCAAGTCTATCATCACCTATACTCAAACCAAAACAGCGCTTAACTAGTACTATGACAAACGTCGAGTACTTGATGATGGTATCACGACTGAACCACTTGTAATTTAAGCAGCTAGCCACTGGGGATTTTTTTAATGTAAATATAGATCATGGACGCGCTATTAAAGAAACTCTACTATGACCCAAAAACCGGTTTTATAGGAGCTCAAGCTCTGTATGAGAAAGCAAAGGAGTTGAATCCTAAGATAACTTTCAAAATAGTAAAGGATTGGTATGGGAGTCAGCCCGATATTCAACGATTTCAGGAGCAAAAGAAGAGATTCAATGGTTTCAAAATAGCTTCGCATAACCCCAACTCGTGGCAAATTGATCTTGCGTATTGGGAGAAACGGCCAATTTTGACTGCTAGTAACATCAACTCAAGGCTGGGGTACGCAAAGCTCTTACGAAACAAGACGGCAGCAATTGTGTTAGAAGCGCTTAAAGCGTTTGTTCGTCTCCACAAAGTGGATATCCTAACAAGTGATAATGGTAGTGAGTTCATGTACTTACAGGCCCAAGAGCTCTTAGACACTATCACATCGGAGGTGACCTCGTGCGAGTCGGAGGATGATGGCAATTCGGCAGACACTCCGCATCCGGAGGCAATCGAGCAGGAGATTTGCATGAAAGATCTGGAATCGAAAAACAGCATGGAAGGCAAGAACGCTCACATCGCCAAGGCGGAGCACGAGGACGACTGTGCTGATCCGAATGTAGATTCAGACGATGGCGTGCAACAAGAAGATAAAAGACCGCCGGAGAGGGAAAAGAAGAGCTCGAAGACTGTGGTTAAGGGACGTCCAGAGTCGACGGGAAATCAAGCGGTGGCAAAGAGCAAGGGGCTTTTGACGGAGACCAAGAAGAAGCGAAATAATGGTGATCCCACCCAGCAAGAGCTTCTGTTTGTGGGGGGAGCTGCCACGGTGTTAGTTGCGTACCTCCTTGCGTGTGTGTACAGCTTCTTTCACCCTGTAGTGTTCCCCTTATCGAACTACGAGGAACTGTTCTCGGCGTACGATATCTCGAATGTTTCCGTGCACATTGTGAACCCCGTGGGAAACTCAATAATCACGCCACAAGGTGTTTCATTCGAGTGGCAACTTGCCAACTTTCCCACTGAAGCTCTGCATTTGTATGGCGCCGAGGTTTTTCGATACGAATTATTTTTGGACGACGAGGTTTTCACGTCGGAAATAGGATTTCTTGCACTTGAAAGCGAAGACGACAATACTGAAGTGCTCAATCGCACTGTCGATTCCTCTCCGAAAATTCACACACGACGCGATATTTAAGCTTCATCTCGAAGTTACTATCCCCATTCCTGGGCTAATCGAAGAGCTCACGACATACAAGAAAGATGTCTACGTTCGAAAGCCACCCACTCCCTCTATTGAGGACGAGGTACACCTATCACTAACGTCTCCCTTGGATGGTGCTATCTTCGAACGACATCAGTCTATTGTCCTCGAGTACACAGCCGTGAATGTACAAACTCTCGAGTTGCTGATTGATGACGACATTTACTTGAAGAAAACCCACGTGGACGATGGCAATATGCTGCTGCGTGGACTCGGCGTGGGGCCGCACACACTCGAAGCGAAAGCCGTGAACGACCAGAATAAAGTCACAGCGTCCAGTTTAGTGCATGTAGAGATAATGGAGTCAGCATAGGCGCTATTAACTGTAATTGGATGGAGTTAGCGTATTACGGTACTGCACACGCTGTGAATTTCCCTGTAACGAGGAAGATTTATGCATTTTAGCGGTGAGCGAGGTGTTCTCTCTATCCTCATTCACACTCTTACTGCCAGACCTTCTTAGGCTTCCAGTGGAAGTTCTCGTACAGACGCAGCAGGTTGCGTTCGAGCATGGCCACCGTGACCTTACCCACCAGTGGCACGTACTGCACGCCCTTTATCTTAAGCAGCTCGGCATCGTCCACGTTCTTGAAGGACGCGACGTTGATGATGACCGTGTTTTCGCTGACCCACTCAAGCGGCAGCTTGTAGCTCTTAACGGGGACGCCAGTAATGATGACACGAGACTTCTTACACGCCGTCTCCTGCGTCTCTTCGCTCGGGATGAGCTTACCGCGACGGAATAGGTACAGCGAGTAAATGTCGGCGCTGTACACGTCAGCGCCGTCATTCGCAAGCATAGCAGCCAATGGGCGGCCGACAATGTATGAGACCTGGACGACGCAGTCTCAGAAACCAGAAGTCTTTTTAGTATTGGTAGTCACTCGCCCGTTAGATACTTGGTTAATATTTTTATTTCTAACGGAGTCCACCAAGGGTGGAGCTCCAGCAATTCCCAATCTGCCAAGTGTGGGGCGAGTAGTGTGTTAACGCTTACTTCTTCCGTCGTACTCACTGTCCAGACATCGTACACGACCTCAGCAAGTGAACGAGTAGGAGACGTTCGCTGTTAGGGTTATGAGCCCAAAATTGGAGTAAACTTCCAGAACTTACGTGAACGCTGACGATGTCGTGGACGCTGCCTTCGATGTCAGACTTACTTGGTACTCCGTCTCCGACCGCGTCGCGACGGATGCTGGCTCTGCAGTGTCAGTAGCGGCTGGACTGGTAGGTCCGTTGGCTGGTGGTGCTGGCGGGATTCCTGTCCTTCAGTCTCCACCGCCGCAGTCTGTTTCTGCGTTGAGCTCACCAACTTCAACACTTATTTTGACTGGAACTCCGGTGGTGAACGCTCCAGCGAGGTCGCACGCTAATGAAGAACAACAACGAAGGATACCATTGCCACCGCCTAACCTAGCGTTGGATGTGAACAAAAACCCACCAAAAATGGCAGGAAGCTTTAACCTCTATCGCGCTCAAGTTATGGCCTATTTACATCGATTTAATGCTTGGGGTCTGATCGATGGATCCGTACAGCGTCCGATTGTAAATGGGTAACTTCAACAGCGCTACGATATGTTGGACTTCTTTGTGAAAGATACGTTGCTTCGAGGTGCTAAAGTTGAAGACGCTGAGCGTATGTGTGATCTTCCAACTGGCAAGGAAATGTCGGAAGATCTGGAAGCACACCATACTAAGCGTGAGTTTTCTAATTACGTGTGGGTATTGAAGCAATTCTTCCACGCAACTTACACTCGTGAGCAGACGATGGATTCTTGGCTTCAGGAAATTCACGATACACGTCGTGCGTTGGCTAATCTGGGTCGAGGGTTATCGATGATGATCTCACTGTGGACGTGATTCTCATGGGAGTAGTGCAGACACACAGAGATGTCGTGCGTCAGTTTTCTCGCATCATGGCTCCCGGGTCCCGACCCACTCTGCAGCAAGTCTTGAACACACTGAAGTCCGAGACCGAGATGGATGAGATCGTCCGCGATGAGGAAGAGGGAAACTCGAAGATCATGCACGTGGCTAAGAAGCAGAAAACTGGTGACAAATCTAGTAAACATATTAGCTGGATTAAACCCAGTGGAGCACAATCTCGTGGAGCTAAATCCAGTGAAGGAGGAAGCAAAGCCAATCAAAAGTCTAGTCCTGGTAAACGAAAGAAGGGCAAGTGCTTCTATTGTGATAGAGAAGGCCATCACAAATTTGAGTGTCGTAAGCTCAAATTTGATCTGAAGCACGGCAACGTAGATGCTGAAAAGGCAAAGTGTGGCAACAATTCTGGGGATAGCTCTAGAGGATATGGGGGAAACAAAGGTGGACCTCCTCAGCCGTTACCATTGGGAATGATCGGTCGTGTTGAAAATACTTGTGCTGTGTCAAGTACTGGGTCTACATTATTGTCGACGTTTGATACCTCTAATTCATTGGAGTGGATATTAGACACAGCAGCTATTACGCATACCTGCGCTGACCGGTCACTTATGACACAGTTTCCGCACTACGTGGAGACGAACACGCCACATGAACCGTGGACAGGAGAAGTAACAACGGAACATTTGGTGTCTCAATTGCCTGTATCTTTCCTATCCACACAAGATAGACGTGGCGAAACTGGAGAAGCGCTTGATTGCGTTCTTACTGGAGTTCGTAATGTTGTTGGATGTCACGTTAATCTGCTAAGTGTTAATGCACTTGAAGAGCAAGGCTGGCAATGTGAGTCACAGTATCCTCAGGACGGACCTCCAAGGCGGCTATTATGGAAGGGGCCGACAGCAATAGTGTTTGTCAAGAGTCGAGGTTACTATCGCACTCGTGGTTTGTGTAATTCACCTCAAGTAGTTGCATCATTTGTGGCTGGAGGTGAATCGATATTTCGGTGGCATCTTCGCTTTGGTCATGTGAATTTTGCAACATTGCAGCAGCTCCATCGTGATCAGATGGTTTCAGGCATGACGATGTCTCCTAGTGAGCGCACTAGAGATGCGATGGATTGCCTAAGCTGTACATTAGCAAAATCGCGAAGAATGTCATACAAGAATGTGTCTCCATGTCGATCAATAAGGTGTTGTAAAAAACTGATGACCGATGTCTGTCACTATGGTGAGGTTTCGGTTGCTGGAAACGTGATGTTTCAGCTCGTGGAGGATGAATACTCACGATACCTATGGGGCTTCTTACTCCGTCAAAAGTCTCAATGTACAGACAACTTGAAGACGTTGATCTTACAGCTGAAGCAATGTGAGCGACCTGTCAGATTCCTGGGGTCTGATCAAGAAACTGAGTTTGTAAATCAAAAGCTACAACAAGTCCTCCGAGACAATGGAGTTCGTCCGCTGTATACAAATACGTATACACCCGAAGAAAACAGTCTCGTCGAAAAGATGAATGGTGTAGTACTGCGATCCGTTCGCGCTCTCCTCGTAACCAGTGGACTTGCAACAAAACTATGGGGAGAGGCATTCAAGTTTGTGGTTACGATACGCAACTTCTCACCATCCAAAGCCATTAAAGACAGTACACCTTACGAGTTATTTGAAGGTCGTGTACCTGATGTATCTGGTCTACGTGTGTGGGGCTGTGCTGCAACGTACTTCGTCCCTAAGCAAAGACGGAAAGGTAAACAAGATACGACAGCGAAAGAGGCATTGTTTCTAGGATGTCCTAAATCCACGACTGGATATCGTGTCCTCGATCTTGTTACCGGACACATTGTGGAGTCTCGTGACGTAAAGTTTCGCGAACAGAGGACACTGGCGGCTGACTATGTGGATCAGTTGCTTGACAAGTTCTACGCGAAGAAGCCTGGTGTGGTGCTACCTGTTTCAATCCCGTATGTAAGACTTCCTCTTCATGACTACTCGAGCTCCTGTAGCAGCGATGAAACTGCACTGGCATTGCATAGCTCCGATGAAGTCGGTCCTATGGATGCTAAGGTTGGAGGCGATGTAGTGGAAGAGACGAAAGTTAGAAGAGCGGGGGAGCTTGAGTTTGATAATATCAACTCAGGTCCAACAAAACGCAGACGAACAGGGGAGCTGGCCCAGACTTATGATACTCCAAATTGTGACTCCACTTCTATAATTCGTGTCGATGGACATGAGAATGATACGAGATGCACAAAACACGTTGAAAAGAAGCGACAACCGGGTTTGGTTGAAGTTAAGCGACGTCAGAAAACACACACCAAAGACCCAATTGTTACACTTCGCAGATCAACACCTACACGTCGTCCAAACGTAAGGCTACATGGCTATTCGCTTGCCAATTACTTCATCTCAACTACGGACAAGCTGCCCAAGTCAGTTCGTGCAGCGCTTGCAGGTCCTGATGGTGATAAGTAGTGGCAAGCTTTGCAAACAGAATTCTCTGACATACAAGCGAATCATACGTGGATTTTAGTGAACCATCCGTCGGACACTAAGATCATGACCAGTCGCTGGGTGTTTGTCATTAAAAGGAATCAAAACGGAGAAATTGTACGCTACAAAGCTCGACTTATTCTCCGGGGTTTCGAGCAAGTGTCTGGTTCAGACTATTGGGAAGTATACTCTCCAGTTGTGAGCATGGAGGCAATCCGTGTTGTCATTGTGCTCGCATTCTACTATGACCTGGAACTTCGCCAAATTGACTTCACTACGGCATTTCTAATCGGTGAGATGGATGTCGACGTGTATATGGAGCAACCAGAGTTGTTCGACGATGGCACTGGACGTGTGTGCTTGTTGAAGAAGAGCTTATATGGCTTAAAGCAAGCTCCTCCGATCTGGAACGCAACTTGGAAGAGATATCTAGTGAAGCTTGGTTTCAAATCCAGCATAATTGCAGATGGCGTTTACGTCAAGTGGGTCGACGACTCTCCTATCTTCCTTACAGTCTACGTTGATGATGTCGTTATTGCGGCTAAAAATGAGAGTATCACGTGGCTAATTTCACAGTTGAAGAGTGAATTGAAGCTAAAGGATTTGGGGGAGATCAACCTCTTGCTGGCCATGAATGTAAAAGTGGAGCCGACACGAGTCACGTTGTCACAAGAATCGTACATTCAACACATTGTGGAAAAATATGGCGATCACACTGCTCGTGTGGTCCGTACTCCAATGGACCCAAAAGTAAAACCTGTGAGACCCAGCAAACCCTACGGACCTGACGTAAACAGAAGTGATCTACCATTTCGTCAAATTGTTGGTTCCCTACAGTATTTGGTGCGTTGTACGCGACCCGATATCGCGAACGCGGTTCGTGTCTTGAGCAAGTTTCTTGACTGTTATACAGAGGAACATTTTGGACTGGCTCAACGCGCTCTTACGTATTTGAAGGGGACTAGTTCCTATGGATTGGTGCTACCAAACGTTTCTGCAAAGGGCAATCTTTCTATCGCTGGATATGCTGATGCTGACCTCGGCAATGATATGGACACTCGTCGATCTGTTACTGGCCAAGTTGTAACACTTGGTGGATGTGTTGTAGCATACCAAAGTAAGCTACAGCCCAGTGCAGTTAAAGATACATGCAGTGCTGAGCTCACAGCAGCCAGCTGCTGTGCAGATCGAATTCGAAGGCTACAAAACTTGTTAGCCGAACTACAAGTTCCTGTCGAGCTTCCAGCTCTTCTCTGGACGGACAATGCTGCAGCTGTTCAGGGAATGACACATTCCAGCGGACATCACAAGATCAAGTGTCTAGATCTGGTGATATACAAGGTTATTGACTATATCGATGCTGGTTACATTGTGGTAAAATACATGCCGTCTAAGGTCATGCCTGCTGATGCCTTAACCAAGCCATTGGGTAAGAGCAAGTTTCGCCAACATCGATAGCAGCTTGGTGTCGAATGCCTGTGTACTCAAGTTGATGGGGATACAGATGAAGAACCAGAACAACAATCCGACCCAGATGACGCGCAAACAAGCTAAGGAGGACTTCCAGTTTCAGGGGAGTATGAGACCTGGACGACGCAGTCTCAGAAACCAGAAGTCTTTTTAGTATTGGTAGTCACTCGCCCGTTAGATACTTGGTTGATATTTTTATTTCTAACGGAGTCCACCAAGGGTGGAGCTCCAGCAATTCCCAATCTGCCAGGTGTGGGGCGAGTAGTGTGTTAACGCTTACTTCTTCCGTCGTACTCACTGTCCAGACATCGTACACGACCTCTGCAAGTGAACGAGTAGGAGACGTTCGCTGTTACAATGTCACTACGGTTAGCAACCGTGATGTTAACACCTGACAAGTGGTCGCCAGTAGGCTTGGTCTTGTCATAAACGCCAAGGTGTTCGAGGATCTTGACAATTGCCAAAGGTGTGCAAGGCAGCACGCACTTTTGCGTCTTCTCGTCGTCTACGTAGCGGATGTTACGGTACAAGTTGCCACGGTAGAATTGGCACAGTCCTTCCACGTCCTTCTTAATGCTGATGCTGTCGCGCAAAAAATCGTCCATGGTGCCACCGAAGAAGCTCGGGAAGGCGCCGAAGCACGGGTAGTACACGAGAATACCGTGCACATCCGAGTCTTTGTTGGTCCTTCTCCAAAGCCTCCAGCAGCTCGTCCTTGGGCACTTCGCGCAGCTCGTAGCGGATGCCGTCGCGTGCACAGGCCTTGCCCGTCCACTCGACGTACTTCTTGGGTCGTGAGCAGCAAACCCACGAGTTTGGACCACGCCACCCATGTCTGCTCAATGTACTGGC